ACCTTAGAGATACTCCATCTACTGGACATAATTCAAAAATGCAAGTAACTAACAAGATAGCCATCACAGATCAAGTACGTATTATGTGTTGGGTGCTTTAACCCACAACGTCTTAAACACCTGCTACCGCTAACCCTTTGGCTACTTTAATCGAACAGTGGAATTTGACTACCACCTTAGGCCCCAAAATTTGGGGCGTGTTTTTTGCAATAGTGGGCTGCGAACGATGAACATTTCTTTTCAAAGGCCAAGCACGTTAACTACAAGGTCACCTGAGTGATTAATGCCCTTACACTCCCTTACGATAACCTCAAGGTTATTATATATATTTTTCTGTATATCTGATCGTAAAAACGGGAATATAATTTTTAATCTAAACGACACCTTATGCGCACGCGGATTAAACGGCTAGGTCAAAGCTACCCTAGGGCTAAAGTATAACCGTTCCTAATTCTGAACATCTAGCCAGTGGAAGGGTGTGAACGTTCGATCCTTCGCGTTGCCCTAATGATCAAAGATTCGTTTGTTTTGAATTTTGCACAAACCTACTAAAAGGCTATCTGCGCTAGCCGTCCCTAATTTAGAAGTGATAGACTAGAGGTAAGGCAGCTAGTCAACACCACCCTCCGCCAACTCTTGGGCTATTCTTTTTCCAACGAATAGTGGGAATGGCTGTCACATTATAACCGTCTGTACGGTTGAAAGGGCGAGCATGTTCGGTGACGGGGATTCGAACTCTCGACCCGCAGATTGCGAGTCGAGCGCCCTAACCACCAAATTATCAAAGAAAGATAATCATGTTACTGTAATTGTTTATGTGCGCAATGATAACGTATTTGTAAGAAAAATGTAGCATCAGAAAGAAGAGTATATGTGATTAAACTAAGGAAACGTTGTTATATCATCAGAAAGTATTACAAATATATATACGGGTTTCTATGTTCTGTATACATATATAATCATATTAAAACCCAACACACACGCACAAGCTGAAACAAATCTGATACTGACGGAAAAGTCTGTCACTTCTAGTTCGAAGAACAGGGGGCTTCGTGAGTAAACATTTACAATGCTTGTGGTAACATAACAAAAATTAAATAAATATATGTATTTACATAAACAATTTGTATACGAGTCAAAGAAAGCTATTAAAGACGTCATGGAAGTCAATAGGTAACGTACAATTTTATAATACAAAAACAATTCTATATTATCATTTTTTTTTCGCGAAATGTATTTTTCTCGAGCCAGAAACAGTAACATTTTTTGATAATTGTTTAGGCAGAGTTTGTTTGTTTTGAATTTCGCGCAAAGCTACACGAGGGCTATCTGCGCTAGCCGTCCCTAATTTAGCAGTGCAAGACTAGAGGGAAGGCAGCTAGTCATCACCACCCACCGCCAACTCCTGGGATACTCTTTTTACCAACGAATGGTGGGATTGACCATCACATTATAACACCCCACGGCTGAAAGGGCGAGCATGTTTGGTGGGACGAGGATGCGAAATAGCGACCCGCAGATTGCGAGTCGAGTGACCTAACCACCTGGCCATGCCGGCCTTTTAAGCAGAATATTCGTGATGAAACTTTTTGCCGTTCATTCAACAATAACAATAACATTGTTTTGCAGTTCTAGCATAAATGAGTTAAAACAAATCCTAATGCTGAACTAATTCTTTATGTTAAACAGTAAATGCTGTATCAAATCACCACTAGCATCTAGTCCTAAGATAAGTTACATTATTCTTGGATATAAAAACGTCTTGACACTAAGTAGCCTCCTAGTGGCTCAGCGGTATGCCTGCGGACTTACAACGCTAGAAACCGGGTTTCGATACCCGTGGTGGGCAGAGCACAATTAGCCCATTGTGTAGCTTTGTGCATAACTACAAACAACGACACTAAGTACATTTAAAAAAAAAACTTTTCAAAATTCCGGAACTAACTACCATAAAAATACCTCGAAGATACAACTGTTAACATTTGGTTTGAGTGACCTACATGATTAACATAAAACCTGTTACATTATTTATATGAGGTTAACGGAGAGGAAAAGGGTCTTAGTTAAATTATGTTCATTCCTGCCAACAATCTCATTTAATGGAAACCCGTACAAAAAAAAAAAGGTACATATAACATGTGGGATGGTTGAGTTTTTTTTTTAAATGTGCCAGCCACGGATAATTATCATAACGTTCACATCATGCATGATTTTAATAGGACAGCTTTTTAGCGAGGTCAGATATTTCGAAGTTGGATTAATTAATTACTCCCAGGAGCAGCAGCGGATGACTGGAATGAAATGGGACAGAGGGGGAGCACCGGTATCGGTTATGTAAAGCATAAATGCCCTTGAAACACGAACAGGATGGGAAGCACATTTTGTCACGTCCAAAAGGCCCAGGTTTTACGGAAGTATAAGTTTCCTGTGTTTGTACAAGAAACCGTTGTGGCTTCCGTGCATGCAGGCCAGTCTTAGAGACAGAGGACGACAACTTTCTAAGTATATTTGAAGTCTGTAAAAAAGCAGGTAGGTGTTCTTTAAGTTCACGAAATCTACTCAATGGATAAGTTTCAATCTCCACAATACTCTTTTACCGGGCCCGGCATGACCAAGTGGATAGGGCGCTCGACTCGCAATATGCGGGTCGCGGGTTCGAATCTCCGTCCCATCAACTATGCTCGTCCTTTCAGCCGTGGGGGCGTTATAATGTGACGGTCAATTCCACTATTCGTTGGTAAAAGAGTAGCCCAAGAGTTGGCGGTGGGTGGTGATGACTAGCTGCCTTCCCTCTAGTCTTACACTGCTAAATTAGGGACGGCTAGCGCAGATAGCCCTCGTGTAGCTCTGCGCGGAATTCAAAACAAACAAACAATCTCTTTTACCGGATCTGTTTCCAACTGTACATTGCACAGGTGTTCGGGATATGCGGCCTTGATTACTGGTTGAAAAGCAGACATGTAAGATTTGTCACAGGCCCTGAACTAAGTTTTCGACCTTGTAAGACAGCATGACATTAATTCTTGTTATATCTGATAATGTGGTAAAGGTTTCCTTCATAACGAAGTCAGAATAACTTAATATGACGTTCTGATAGTAAAAAAAGACGTAAAAGCACCCCAGTGGCACAGCGGTATGTCTGCGGGCTTACAACGCTAGAAACCGGGTTTCGATACCCGTGGTGGGCAGAGCACAGATAGCCCATCGTGTAGCTTTGTGCTTAATTTCAAACAAACAAACAAAAAATACTTAAAAAGGAAGTTATCTCTCTAAAGAAAAGATAGGATATAATATAGTAATCAAATAAAATACTAAAATGTATATAAGAAAGAGCAATTTTAATTAATAATAATACAATAAAGTGTAGAACTCGATAATTTACGATAAAAAATAAATAGACTACAGCCTAAACAGAAAGTATTATTTAAACAAAATAAAAAAAGTAATCCAGAAATTCGCTGGACGGTTTGTTTTCGGAGCAAAGCGACATGGCTGTGTTCAACGCAGAGAATCGAACTCCGGATTTTAACCTCTGTCCCACAGGTGAACAAATTAACGCCATAACAAATATAATGCTTAGTTTTGCAGCATAACGTTTAGGTACCGAGAAATACATTATAATACTGGAATACCATGTTGGTTACAGTTTATACTCAAAAACATTAAGTGGTAAGAAATTACTTATACGAAGAAAAATTATATAGTGCTTATAAGTTTACAGACAAACATACAGGTGGTAAAGTTTTTACAAAATAATCTAAGTGTCTAAAATAATTTAGATTTAAAAGTAGTTGTGGCATAGCATAAAGTAAATATAATTTTCTAAGTTTATTAGACCATTTTAAAACCAGCTTGGTCGTCAGCTAAATTTTTATTTCTTTGTTTGTTTGTTAGTAGTTAACCACAAAGCTACACAATAGGTTATAGGTTCATTTTCCACTATGGGTTTCGAAACCCAATTTTTAGCACTTTATGAGCGCTCAGATTTTCAGCTGATTCACTAAGAAATACGTGCAAACTTAGAACTATCCAAACGATCCTATTCTCCATCGACAGTTATGCCGCTGGTTCGATCCCAGCTGGTTTTAACTGTATTTCAACACTCTGCCCTAAATTAAGAGGATTAATGGTGGAGTCATACTTAGTACATTTCACCAGCAGTTATGATGATTAAATCTCTTGAAGCATAAGTTAATTATGGAAAAACATAACCTCTATCATAAAACTTTTCGAAATTTATTTTTCATTCATTGCGCATGCGCATCATTATAGTTATTATTTACTGTGAATGTTATTCGTTCCGCCGCAGCTTAATCCATCCCACAATGACGTAGTTCTTCAAAATCAGTCAATCACTTTAGAGGAATAATTACATTTATATCATCACAGTAGTTACGTCAAAAAAGAGTAAATGATAAACAGTGACATTTAAGATGAAATATTTTTTTTCTCATCAAAAATTAATGTGTTCTTTTGCATTCGTAATTATTATTACAATTGTAAGATCTACTCTTAATGCTTCATTAATTGTTTTAAGAAGAGAATTAATGTTTAACTATTTTGAAATTCCTATTTCATAAACACCTGAAGTAGCAGGGCCTCTCTCTATCGCTATGATCAAAATTCTATAATCCGAGCGTTGCTGTGTTTGTGTTTTACTTTAGCGCAAAACTGCACAATGGACTGTATTTCTTTTATTTACCGTGGGGATCGAACCCTTATTTTCTGTCATAAGTCATGAAGCTTACCACTGAGCCACCAAATTACTATACATATAAGAGACCATGACCTACCTACTCCCTGTGATTGTGATGCATATTTTGTTTAAAATGAGTGTAATTTACTGTTTTCTCATAAATACTAGCAATGTTAACTAGCACAACCTTGTGATGAAACTATCACACACAGATAATTATTTCCATGATATAAGGATTGGCTTCCTCTAGGCCCATTGAAGAGGAAATCCTGTGGAATTTCTTAACATCCGTTTTCTTCAGTTTTAATAAATATTTATTTTTGTATTTTTCTTTCATTTTCGACCCAGAACGTTGTAACACTGAGAGGAGAAAAGGTATGTTATTTGAAAATTTTATTATTTATCTTTATCTCTCTTATATTTATCAAATTGTATGTATGTAAACAGTATTTAATACATATGTCCCACTACACATACAACGACATTCATGTTATGCATATGTGACACAGACTTCCCACTACACACAGAACGTAATACACTACATGCAAGCATACTATGAGACAGACTTCCCATTACACAGAGAAAGTCATTTACTACGTGCATATGTGACACAGACTTCCCACTACACACAGAACGTAATACACTACATGTACGAATACTATGAGACAGACTTCCAATTACACAGAGAAAGTCATTTACTACATGCATATGTGACACAGACTTCCCACTACACACAGAACGTAATACACTGCATGCAAGCATACTATGAGACAGACTTCCAATTACACATAGAACGTAATACACTGCATGCAAGCATACTATGAGACAGACGTCCAATTACACATAGAACGTCATTTACTACATGCATATGTGAC